AATATTAGATTTTGATAAAATTTGAATTATTTAAAAAACCTTTAGATTTAGACATTATAAATCTTATTAAAACAAACACTTATTTTGCTCAGAGATTCCAAAAATACAATAATATGTAGAGTATTACATTAAGAAAAACACAACTTTTATACTTTTAGAGCTTTTGGGACACTCTGTACATTACAAATATATTTTTGAAATCTGCACCCGATAGGCGTCTGTGGATTCATCAAATAATACTTTGCAAAGAACAAACAGGCTAGCCGCAAACGTCCGTGCCGTATAGCGTGAATAACCCTGCATATTATTACATTTAAAAATTGAAGAAAAACGACAAAGTTTTACGACCTTTGATAACACGCCCTCTCGCGGCCAAAGACTCAATCATAACAGCGAACATTTTTGATAATTTTGATTATTGCATGAGTTAAACTAAATAAAGAGATTTTTAAGCAGTAATAAAATTTTGCATTTAATCAAGCTAGTACGGAGCTGTCATAAACTTTTGCAACCAATGTTTAACCTTCCCCCACTGCTTTAGTTGACTACATCGAACAATAGTACTCCCACAAGAAATAAGTGAAATTTTGTCAAGAATAGAATGAAAGTACTTCCAACCTATCTGAAACCGCTAAAAATCGGTATTTAAAATTGACTATTGCAATTTTGCCCTCTGGCAGTCATTTCGCAAAACTTTAAAGTTATTTCGTGCCATTTCCCTGAGCCACTTTACTTATATTTTTTTACTACAAATTGATACGACTAATAGTTTATGAGATACGGCCGACCACCTCTCTTAGTGGCCCACCCTGTACATTCTTCGCTGAAGCAAATACTTGCCAGAATAATAGGGATGGCGTTGACTTGACGACTCATGGATCCACAAAACTCTATTATTCCATTAAAATCATCGTATCTATTTAATCTGAGGCCTGTACTTAGTGTAGTTTTAGCCAATTTTACCATTAATAGCTAAACAAGATACTTTTATGAGATCCGCCGCTACTGCAGAATAACGATTAATTGTAGCTTTAAGGTACTTAGCAACTGGAAGAAGTTACGAAGACTTAAAATTTAGCGGAGTAACATCCCCACAGCTTTTTTTTTTAATCATGCCAGAAACGTATTGGGCAATCTGCAATAGTTTAAAACTTAAAGAAAACTCATAAATTATAAATTAACATGCCTAAAATAAATGAACCTATTCAGACGCTACCATAAACAGATAAATTGCGTCCAATGTGCAGGAAATTGGAGAGGGTTGCAGGGCGATTGTGTCCTCGAAACGACCATTGCCGATATCGGACAGTCGTTAAGAAATTTGCACAATCGCACTACACATGCGGCAATTTACAGGAACTCTGCAGATTGTACCCGGTAGATTGTCGCGTGAGTAGGCCGCTTTAGTACTTTAATACCTTCCACCCGTTTTCCGTTGATAAATCGCCGATCGTTCGAATTCAATGTTGCTCGCAAACCAATCAAGATTTATGAATGACTAGCTTTGTCTATTTATTAATGTTTTTGGCTAAGGCTTTGATTAAAAGCTGGTAGAGGTGTGATAATACCGGCTGTCCCACTGGGAACCGCCGCGATCGATATCTGGCAAACTATAAGTAGGAGAAATTTGAAAATTGAACAGTGTAACAAAGTCATTACATTACAATCTACAGGTTACAGTCTATCTGCCTGTAACCACCTCATAATGGCAAAAACATCGTTGCCGCTTTAAATTTACTTCAGCAAATTCTAGAAGAGTACCTTTTTAACATACTTTTTAATTTGAAGTAAAGGTCTTAATTTTTTGTTTCCAATTATTAAGTGTTCAAATAGACTATCGATCCAACATAAGACCATTTCAAAATAATACTTATTAACAAATTTGAAATCAAACTTTCAACTGTTAATATCATTACCATTAAAGTTTTCGAAAATAATTTTACAATATATTTTTTAGGGACTCATTTAGAGAGCTATAACCCTTCAATTGGAATTACGCCTATTGTGAATCACCTTATACAGTGCGCGACATTTGATTGCTCTCACCTAACTATTTTGACTAATTTTTAGTAATGCTAAAAAATTTGATTAGAAACCTACATCAAACACTAGATTAAAGATTTTAAAAATATTTATTTAATAATTTTTTTACACTTTTGTATTCTACAATTGAGTT